TGAAGTCATCACTTAAATCCCAAGGGTCTATATCTAGTTATTGTAATATAAGATTCAAAGAGAATCTGTGTTAGCTAAGCAGTTCTGATTTATTCATCGACATTGTTCTCAACTGGAATTAGAGCTATTGAAGAACACCACGGATCTCTAAGGACTAGAGTCATATATTGCTCTGAAGGAAAAAAATCTCCATGACCATAATAATAAAGGCAGTAACAGCTCAAATTAACTCATTAGTTGCTCATAAGTTGCTAGAAAGCAAAACAAATATGTGGCTGGCCAGTGAATGTGGGACTGGATCTTTCTGTAAGCGCTGACCAAGTATACGGATGAGAGAAGTCTTTCCAAGCTACTGACCTTACAGTGGGGAAAGAAGTGTAGATGTAATCTGTGCAACGTTAGTAGATTTTGTGGTGTGTGTATGGGAGGGAAGTGGGGGTTTGTTTTATAAAATAATCGTTGTAACTTAGGGCAGTATGGTTAGGTTAGGTTATGGTTGGACTTGATGATTTTTGAGGTCTTTTCCAACCTGAGCAATTCTATTATTCTATTCTCTGATAAGAAAACCAAAACAACTTTGCAATTCCTTTTAATTAATACATCATAAATCTGGAATTTGGGACATCTTCCATATCTGAGTAGCAAAACATACATTCAGTGAATATGAGCTACTTGTGTTAACAGGGTGCTCGCTAAGATTAAAGCTAATAAAACCTGCAGTGAGCATAGCACAAGTAAGCATGTATATTACCAAATATGAAACACATCACCTGCTACAGTTTTCACATTGTTTTCTTTCTACTGGCATGCTTAAAGCACAGCCACGGGAGCACGCAGTGTAATCCACAGACCCCTGACAAGATCCCAAGCAGATTTCAGAGTGCGCTCAGCTCTGTGCTTCTCTGGCTATGTTGCTATCCCAGTACATAGTACATAGAAATGAAACCTGTAGGCATCATTGATATGCCAATCCTTTGGTCACAGCATGGATGTTTTATGTTTTAGAAAAGTGTGCTCAAGAAAATACTGTATTATGAAGATGATAAACAGTTCTCTTCATGTTGTTGTTTCCCCACTTGCTTTTAGAGCTCTCCTGCAAAAACAGGAAATTCAGGGCTGTGCCAGTTCAGGGTAAACAAAACAAGTACTATGTTTGCACAAAGCTGTCACTGTGAGGATAGAAGGGAACAGGGGGAAGTTAGGAACTGGAGAACAATGCTAACAGTAACAGAATGTGAAGCCAAGTACTAGCTCCCAATACTGATGAAAGCATTGAAACATACAGCATGTTTACAATGGAGAACTGTTAAATGGAACATATGTGTTCTATGATTTGAATTGTGAGGCTAACATTTTGATTTAGCTTGTTGATGTCAGGAGATTCAGCTTTTAGAAAACTTTCATAGAGGTACAAGATACGTCCTGAGAACTCTATGTAATTCTGTAACTCTACTGATTCTTTTCTACTGGAATTATTGCTCACGCTGCTGATCCCCAAAGACTCAATCTACAAGATTCTACTAGGGAGAAGATCGGGCAGATGTAGATGGCATACACTACAGTAGTACAGATGGCTTTACTCAGTACTTCCACTGCAACACACCCCCATCTTCAATTTCTGTTCTCTCTAAAGCAATTTCTCTTTTCTCTTTGACCTCAAAATCTCTTCTTTCATTTCTATTACAATTCACAGATTTCACACTCCTTTTCGTTTGTACCTAGAAATTACATTAGGCATCACCACCTTCTTACACTCCAATAACATTTCCAAACCTTGCCTTGTCTGCTTCCTCTGGTCCTGAATTTTTCCCATCACCTGGCAAATACCAGCAGCGTTGTCCCCAAGGAAACCTGGAATCTGTAGGTGCCAAATCTGGAAGGCAGAAAAACAAGAACTATTACATGCTATTTTCTTTTCATTATTTCAAATGTATTTTTTCTCTTCATCATTTCTGACACGCAACAATCTCCCCCAGTGCTGGGGTTTAATCCCAGTGGTCTGCTAAGCACCATGCAGCTTCTGGCCTACTTCCTCCAAAGCAAAATAATCAGACAGGTAAAAGAGAATACATGGGGGGTTAGATAAAGACAAATTAATAAGGAAAAAATAAAACAACAAGAAAAAAAACCTTAAAAACAGAACACTAAGAGAAAAAAAAATAAGGAATACGAGCAACATAAACACAATTGCTCAGCACCAGCATATTGACAGCTCATCAGCCCCTGAGCAACAGCAGCCCTGGCAAACACTCCCCTTGCTTCACTGCTGAGCATAACCCAATGGGCATGGAATATCCCTTTGGACAGTTTGGGTCAGTTGGGGACAGGTTGGCTATGTCTCCTTCCAGCTCCTGGTGCACCCCATGGCTTCTTGCTGGTAAGGCAGCATGAAACTGGATCATAGAATTGTTTAAGTTGGAAGGGACCCTTAAAGGCCATCCGGTCAAAGTCTGAGCCTGGTCCAGCCTGACCTTGAATGTCTTCAAAGACAGGACATCCATCACGTCTCTGGGCAACTTGTTTCAGTGCTTCACTACTCTTATTCTAGAAAAAACTTTTTTCCTATATCCAACCTAAATCTTCCCTTTTTTAGTTTGAAACCATCTCCTCCTGTTCTACCACAACAGACCCCGCTAAGGAGTCTATACCCTTCTTTCTTATAGCCCTCTTTAGATACTGAAAGGCCACTACCAGCTCTCCTTAAAGCCTTCTCTGCTGCAAGCTGAAACAGAAAAGACTCTGATGCAGTGTAAGCACTGCTCAGCAACAACTAAACCACCCATGTATTAACAACACTGTCTTCATCACACATACAAACCACAGTATCCTACCAACTGCTATTAAGAACATTATTAACTCCATCCCAGCCAAAAGCAGCACAGATACTAATTCATTCCTTCAGGAGCTGCTGTCCCACGCTGTTCATCAGGCAGATGAAGCTTGAAGCCAGCCTCAAGCTATGGTCTGCTCTGCCTTCAGACTGTGGGTACAGCTGTGAGCAAAATACAGATGGGATACAGCTCCTAATAACATAATGGTAAATCTTGCTAAATAACTAGAACTAATCAAAGCAATTCATAAAATTAGGACAGTGATGCCATTAGTGAAATGCTTTTTTTCTTTTACAGTAGTTTCTGATTTTACTAAATATTCTTTCTTTCCCTGTGGCAAAATAGAGTTAGAAGGGCTGTATGGTATCATGACAAAACTACAGATGTGCACCACTAGGATATCACTTTCAGAACGAGTGGAAGAACAAATAACTTACACAAGGTCCCAGTAATGAGGTGACATTTAACATGCTGCTGCTTCAGCATCTGTTTTCACAATTATGTACTGTGCTTTTAAATCCTGCTATACAAAAACGATGTTTCAGGATGCCTTGTGCAACGGTAAGGCAGTTTATGGTAGCATTAAGGGCCAAAGAAGCAGACGCATCCCTTCAGCTGTTTCAGCACAAGCTCTCACTCCTGCCACTATTGTTGGAAATATCCAAATAATTTATCAGGACAGTATCTCTGATAAAGCAGATTTTGTTTGCAATGACGGGCCTCCTGCAAGCAGAAGAGCACCCAGAAAACAGCGTTACATCTTTTATTCTTTACTGCCTGATGTTTATCTCTTTCTCCCCTAGTTCCTCATTGGCTGAGTACTTTAGGTTCACAATCTTCTCAATGCTTCACTAATGCAAACTCTGGACAAACATAAATCTTTGCTGCCTAAGCGTAAATCTGTAATTCATTAATTAACTTATTCCACACTTGATCATTGTTTTGTTGTATCTGCTTGTCCTCCCTTCCACAAAGATAAGCTTGGGAGAAGGACAGAGGGGAGCCTCTTGATGCCTGCCTGACACATCCCAGTCTTTTCAAGGAGTGAGACAGTCCGGCCTTGTGTAGAGGCTTTGGCTTCTTTGATGTTTGCTAAATCTGTTTTTCTTTTGTCGGGAGTTTCTTATCCTAACAGAACAACTCTACAACATGTTTTCTAATTCCTAACGCTATACCCACGTTGTTTGGAACATTTTAACAACTAGTACAGTTTTGCAAGAAAGAATTAATCACATAATTCAGTCATCATGTTTCTAAAACATGCTGCTAACATATACAGTATTTTTACTTCTTAGACCAACTATTTCTACGGATAAGTTACAGAATACAAGTACATTATGTCCCACTTCTTCAAACCAATTGCCTTTTTTAATATCAAATGCAGAAACAGCATTCCATTCCCATACTATCACACTGGCCAAGCAGCCTGCTTGAAGAGTGAACCGCCAAAACTCGTATCTGACAGCACTCCTGCAGCAGCCTAAGCCAAGCCTTCCCCTATTTATGTCCTTTCCCTTCCCTCCTCTTCCCGCCTTGAATGGACGGAACGTTTAACGCAGCCCTTTCCTCACCCGGTGCAGACGGAACAACTCGGACTGGACCGTCGTGTCAATGGCTCAGGAAAAGCTCCGCTGCCCGTGGAAGTGGGGCAGGACAGCCTACGAGCAACACGAGCGTCTGCGCTCCTCAGTGCAAGCCGCCCGATTAACTCAGAGCGCAGGCAAGAGAAGGGACCGGGTTCGGGCAGGCTGCGGACGGCTGGCGCTGCCCCGCCCCGCCCCCACCTACCGGCATCTTCCCGCCGCCTCCTCGGGGCCTCCGAGCACGGGCACGGCGCTCCCCAGCACCAGCCCCGCACGCGGCAGCCGATCCTCGCGCAACGCCCCGTCCCTTGGCAGTGCGCTCCAGCTGCGCCACAGGACGGCCGCTGCGGCTGTAACGGCCGTTACGGCTATGTGGGCCGAGCCCGCCCAGGCCTCCCGCCGCCGCCTCGGTCCTCAGGGCTGCTGCCTCAGCCCGCTGTCGCAAGAAAGGCGAGGTTACTTTTGCAACCGCTCGTGCTTGACGGCTGCGCGTCGCCACCCGACGCAACTCTTCCGCCATGTTGAGCGTGGCGCTGCGTCGCAACGGCCTCGCAGGACACAGCACGCACGCGCACATCAGTGCCTCCCGCCCGGCTCGTGTCGGGCACGCGCAGTCGGGGTACCCCCGGGCACGGACTCGGAGCACGCGCGCTAGGCGGAGAGTGGGGCGCATGAGCAGGGCGGCCGGCGGGCTGACGGGAGCGGGCGGCGGGACAATTGAGCGCGGCGAGCGCGGCTGCTGAGGTAAGGGTGGGATGGCACGGCCTGACCCAAAATAATTCCTCGCCGGTAAGTTTCCTCTGTCGGGTGTCCTTTTGGGTCTCTTTTGTGCCTCTTCTGTAAGCCAGACCTCCTTAAATACTTGTTTGGCTTACAACTGTGAGTAGCCTTGGGCAGCCTGGTCTGGTGGTTGGCGACCCTGCGCATAGCAGGGGGTTGAAACCAGATGATCATTGTGGTCCTGTTCGACCCAGGCCGTTCTGTGATGATGAAAAGCCTTGGGCTGGCAGCACCATGGATACTACTGCTCTTGGTGCCTGCTCCAGGCTCTTACAGTTGGTACTCATTCCAAGTGATTTCTGACCACCGCTGGTATCCAGATCGGCACTAACGCTGCCGACCTGCAGTTACTGCATCGAAGCAGATCCCGTGTTACACATCTGTCCTATGTACAGTAAGCCTGCTCACACCTGCCAGGAATCTTTCTTCAGGTGTTGAGGAGAGTTAAGTTTGGGCTGAAATGACCAATGTTACAGTCTCTGTTATGACTCAGTGCTGAGTTGAAAATGCCAGATTTATAAACAGATATATAAACAGGAAGGGGAATGGCTGTTTATGAGTGTTGATAGTGATAGGATAAGGGGGAATGGTTTTAAACTGAGACAGGGGAGGTTTAGGTTAGATATTAGGAGGAAGTTTTTCACTCAGGGTGGTGAGGGACTGGAACAGGTTGCCCAAGGAGGCTGTGGATGCCCCATCCCTGGAGGCATTCAAGGCCAGGCTGGATGTGGCTCTGGGCAGCCTGGTCTGGTGGTTGGTGACCCTACACATAGTAGGGGGGTTGAAACTCAATGATCATTGTGGGCCTTTTCAACCCAGGCCATTCTATGAACCTGGGAGACATAATGGAAATTGAAAATACTTTTAGGCTACTGTTTAGCCTGCTTTCTCTAAAACTGTTTGGGAAAGTTTTGCTGCTGTAGATGTTCAGAATAATATCCAGACAAGTGTCTAGAACTTGCACTCAAGATATGCAAAGGCAGAGAACAAAAATCAGTGTTTTCTCTGTTTAGAAATCTCAGTATCTCAAAAGCTGGTTACAACAAATAGAAAATGCTAATGGCGTGTGGTCCTTTTTAACCCCAGGCCATTCTATGATTCTGTGATTCTTTGATTTTGAAATACCTCTTGCATGCGTGTTTCATTTTAATGCAGATGTTAAGATATCTTTAAGGAGAAACATACTGCTGAATTCAGTGCTTGCAGAAACAGGTGCAGTGATGAGACGTTGTTGCAGGCTGTGGTTTCATGGGATGCTTACTCTGGTCTGGCCAGATGGCTCACAAAGGCAGGAGCAGAGCTTTTCTCATTACCTCCTGCAGCTTCCCTGGAGCTGCAGGGTGGCTCTGTCTAGTGCTGGTTGTCTCATTGGAAAGAGCATGTTTAATGTTTGGTGGAAATAGTTGGAATGTGGAGGTATTCCTTGATGTAGCCATACCTACCTTGGTCCTACACTATGGTTGATCCTTACCATTATGGTTTATGTCTAACAGCATCATGTATGTGTCATCGTTCATAGTACAGAGACAAGAACAGTACTGTCAGCGTTTGCATGTCCCAGACATAAAGGAGTACCATCAGCTGTGTCTAATGTCTGCAAAGTGTTTCAGTAGTACTCTGCTGCTGGTTGTGTGCAAATCTTGAAAAGAAAGGTTGCTGTGCCCTGGTACGCCACTGGAGTGCACAGCAGTGTAAAAATTAAAGTGCAGGAACTCAGTGCCTCTTGGAATGGGATGCAAAAGTGCTTTCAGGAGGATAGAGGTATTTGTGTCTGTAATTGCTTTAATGGCATATTCTTACCTAATAATTAGAGGTGGGAGAGAATCAATTATAATAATGTATGAATGCAGAATTAAACCAAAGTATGTTCAATTAATTGCTGTTCCACTGTTTTTGTCATTTGAGCTTCTGGGTTACTCCATTTGATTTCTTTTTTTGTTGTTTCTACTAATTTAAGTATTAAGATTAGAACATTTTATTGCAGTGGTTGCAAGCATCCTTTGCCATATTAACTTTGATGTGTGTTTAGTTTTGTCTGAGCATGGCTAGAAGAATAATGGCCTTGCATTTTGAGGGAAAACCTATAGTACATTCCTTCCACTCTTCAGTTAAATGTAATATGGAGACAGAATCTCAACTGAATTCTAATCTTTTACTGTGTGTCGGAATTACAAATATAATAGATTGTTTAATGCAAAATGTTACTCCCAGATAGGAACTGGAACTTCAGCATTCATTATTTTACTAATATTAGGTTTTTCAAAATTATGTTTTAAGTGTTTGGAGTAGTTGATTCTTTTATATCAATCTATGTTAAGAGCAATTTGAAAGTTTGATAAAAAGCCTTGTATTGATTGTCTCCAGAGCATTTCCTGCTCTTGAGAACTGCATTACTTGCTTTCCAAATGAAAAAAAAAGCTGCAGAAATTGCAGTAGTCTTTCTTAGTACTTAAAATGTTGCAATTCTTTTTCTTTCTCTTAAATTGTTATGCTTGTGAATAAAAAATGTCATTTGAAAATATTTTATGCCACATAAGCTTTCTTTGTTTGTTTACTTTTTTAAAAGCCTACTTGTATGTTTCATTACGGCTGCATTTCCATATCTGAAGCATTTTCTGACTATGTTTTTTTAACTTGCTTTATTCCTTCCAGAGTGGTACAAACTAAATATGAGGCGATCAGCAGCTCCAAGTCAAGTGCTAGGAAAAGTAGCCAAAAAGCCAAGGTTTATACCACCAGGAAAAAGTAATGCAGTTTGTCCCAAGATTGAAACTGAGGAAATGGACCAAGACATGAAATTAAAGGAGGTAAAAATGAAGAATGTGCTGAAAATTACATGTGTTCCTGCAGTATTGTTAATAAAAGGAAGCATCTGGGCTTACCGCGTATAGTCCCAGTTTAGATCATGAGTACTTTTAGGCTTTGATAACTTTGCACTTACTAAATTTGATCTACCTCTTGGGTGGGTGTCTTTCACTCTGTGAAGTGCACACAGGAATATATTTTTGAAATAAATAATGGGAATCAGTACTGAGCCCAAACTCTTAATGCAACTGAGGTGTATTGGCCTTGACTTTGTTGAGTTCAGTGGTTTGTAATGCTTTGGCAAAAGCAGATTAGAAAACAAGGCATTTATTAATTGAATGCCAATACATTCAGTCACAGTTTTGCTGTAAGGAACTTTCTCTGAAATCTATAGTATTGGCCAAAAAAAGAATTTTTATTAATTTTATCTTTGGAAATTTTTATTAAATGCAGCTCAAAAGCTAACTGCATGAATGGCATTTGGTTTTGTGATCATGCACTTAATGTTCTGAAAATGGGAGGGTATATATTTGTGTGGGAATGTATATATCTGTGTAGATAGACACATAATCCTCATTATCAAACTACTGAAATCTCTTCTTGTTGTTCTCTTTTCTGTTTCGTTTCAACTGCCTGAAGGAAATGCTGTCCTGAACTTCTTTCTCTTTTGCAGATAGGTGAAAAACATGGAAATGTTTCACTGTTTTCTGAAATGTTCGGTGAGAATAAGAATGAAAATTTTACACAGTCTGTTGAGTCATCTGGAAAAGTAAAGTCTACAAAAGTGTGGAACAGCACTAGTAAGTGCAGCAAGTTGGAAATGAAAACACAGAATGTACCCAAAGCTGGTAAGATACACTTTTCCTACTTAATGCTGTGAGTTGTGTGAGAATTTAAAAGCTTATATCTGGTATGCTGCTTTCTAAACTTTTATGAAATACTTATGTCTTGTGCAATGGGAGCATTACTTGTTGTTCTGCTGGACAGAGTGCAAAAGCAACAAGCATTAAGCAATTCTCTTAAATGGAAAAGGAAAAAAAGCTGATATTTTACAAGCCAATTAATTGGTAGTGCTGCTATTCAGGTATGTCTTCTATAAGCGTACTTATAGTCAATTTGCTCTAATTGAGAGTAATATCATAAAAAGAGTTGGGATTCCCTAATTTTTATAAGAGTATTGCAGTCTGGATATTTTGTTGGTCTCATGCAAAGAATACAAATGATACTGACTGAATTCACACTTTTCAGAATCCATGAGGGCTTCTTCATTGTAAGATCTGATCTGATGACAGTGTCTCTGGTGGCCGTTCAGGTTCAAGCATGTGTTATTAACTCTCATGTAACTAGGACAGGCTGTGCTCACTCGTGTACCATTCATTAATTTTTTAACCCTGGTAATGAATATTCCTCTCAAAAGCTAGGTAGTAAGCACTGCAAAGTTGGTGACGTATCTGAAATGTAGTAAATGCACTTTGATGGACTTGACTGATTTCATGGAATTGTGTATATTCTTTTTCTATTCTTCATGTGCCATGATCACAGATGTGCATGAATGCAGGTTTGCTAGCTCTGCTGCCAAATGCATATGAGAAGCATTGCACTTTACCTGAATTACTTGCACTGATGGATAAAAATCATTCATCTTGGAGCCAACTCATGCATATTAACATCTATCTTGCTGTTAATTCGCTGTTTTCTCTTCAGAACTAATTACTTTGATAATTAGGATAGTTCTACACAATCCTTTCTCTCTCTCCCTTGAAATACCCTCTGTCTACCTGGGCATGTGAACCATAAAGGCCTCAGTCATGTTGCTGGTTCTCAGACCTGCACTCATATAAACACACTACAGATCCCTCCAATACATGGCCTTAGACACCTGGCTGCTGTATCTCCTGGTCTGCCAGCTGCCTTGTTCACAACAGATGCATAGAAATCAACATGACACTCTGGTACCTAGTCCAGACTTAATAGTGGCCAGCCAACCAGTAGTCACTCCCCTCAGATATCCTGCTCTTTCCAGTACTCATTTGTACTTTCTGGTCCCTCAGTAGCCACCTTGCAGACCCTCTGGTTTCTGCATAATCTGGCCCAGATTCATAGCTGCTCCAAAACCTGACACCCAAACCTCATTTCCTGTATGTCCGCTAGTCCCGTTTGATGTTTGCTAGTGATCACACACTGGCATCACCACGCAATACACGTGGATTTGCCAGTTGGTGGCACTTCAGGTCAGAGGGGCATAAGCACCTGTGTGCGGTCCAGCCCCTGTTTCTAGCATGCACAACTCCATGTGCATTTATGTACACTTAATAAGAGTCCCTTTACCCAGGAAATATATTGAAATGTAGTTTCATAAGATGAGACAGCTTGTGGTGACAGGGTGCAGAGCACAGGTGGACAAACATACTGACCAGTCACCTGTTTAAAGCTTTTTCTCTTTCTTTTTTTTCCACACTTGCTTCTTCCTGAACCACCTTCATCCTTCCCTTTGGCCTGTCTTGTTTTTTTCCTCTTAAAAATCTCATTATCATGTCTTGTGCAATCCCCTTATGCTCTTTCTAACATTTTATAAGTTCCATACCCAAGTAGGCAACAACTTTGTTGACTCCAATGGACTCTTCTCGTTGGATTTAACCCTCAGAAAATGATGTTGATTGGTCACATGTGATAGCCCTGAGGAGATACTGCCATAATTATGTTGCGTGACTCAGAGTGCTCTGTTTCGCAGAGCCAATGTGGGAAGATTTACCAGTCTTCTATGTATTAAGTCCCTCTGGTTCTATGGGTTTTGTGTTTATCTGCAGTGTGCTGTAACTTCCAGCTGTTCCTATGATGCTCATGCTTGCAGAAAATTTTCAGTGTGTATAGGACAGGTTCTTTGAGTGATCCTGCTTCCCAGTAGATACATCTGCAAAAATTTGTCTGCTGATTCTATCTAACAGTGCACTTGAAGGATAATCAATGGATTTATTTCCAGAATAATCTTCCTGTGGCCTCGGGGGGGGGGGAAATTTGTCATCTTCCCAACAAAAAAAAATTGATAAGTGGAAAAGATAGTAAATGCTTTTTCAGTATCATCTATTCTAGGTACAGCTGGTAGGGGTGTCTGTGATTACCTGAGTAAAAGGAACAGTTTTTGTGTGACTGAGTGACCTGTTTCTGTTGATGTTGCACTGCTTGAGTAACCAAACAAACCATTTTGTGCCAGAGCCTTTCAGTGTCTGTAGAATGGGGCTAATCCTGCAATTCTTTGTAAAGCACAAAAAAAAAAAAAAAAAGAAAAGAAAAGAAAAAAAGAAAAAAAAGGGATATCACAAGTAAATGTTGGTTATGGTCATTAGAGTCACTGCTGGTATAAATGCTGCATCGTGGAAACTGTCTTGCATTGAGGCTTCATTAAATCTTAAACAGTTTCTTAATATCATAGATTCTTCAAGACAGCTTCTGCCACTTATGTTGCTTTTATCTGCTATTCATTACAGCCATTCTGTAGACTGTGTAAACTATAACCTCTTTTGTAGTGTGAAACTAAATTGTTTTGACAAAACTGAAATTCAAAAGTAATGGAAAACAATTGTGAAAGCCAAAGTTGGTATTTGTTTATTATTACTATTGTAATGGAATTATATCTTCAGTCAAAAAAAAGACTTCTCTCTTAAAGGGACATTAAGATAATTTCAAGATTTAAAAAGTCTGTGTATGCATTATTTTGGTTTACTGTCTGAATAGTGTTTAACACAGATAATAAGCTGTTTGTTAACTTTATATCACACTGAAAGCTGCAGTGTTTGGGTTTCTAGTACAGCAGTGGAATGTGTAAATGAATACTCCAGCTTCCACTGAAATTCTTATGAAACACCTGTGGACAGTTGGACAACTGTACTGTTCATTGCTCATTTCTGTTCACCCAGCCCTAAAAATGCTGCACATTCTTTCAGTAAAACTTATCTGACACACCGTATCAGTATCCTGGTGTTGGTTAGATAACATTCATTTAAATTATAGCATATCTGGCCTAGAAAAATTTGCTTTTTAGGCTTTTTCTCTTCTATCCTATTATCGCACTAATGAAAAGGAATCTAAACTTCTATCACATGAGATAAAAGCTTCTAAAGAGGTTTTAATAAAATGGTATCAGCTTTTGTAGAGTGAAACCTGCCTATGGGTTGTAATTTCAAGGAAGCTTTTAAATAGAATCACCAAGGTTGGAAGAGACCTCCAAGATCATCCAGTCCAACCATCCACCTATCACCAATAATTCCCACTATCCCATGTCCCTCAGTACAACATCTAAGCATTTCTTGAACACCTCCATGGACGGTGACTCCACTCTGTCCCTGGGCAGCCCATTCCAGCACCTGACCACTCTTTTGGAGAAGAAACGATTCCAAATATCCAGCCTGAACCTCTCTTGGCACAACTTGAGGCCATTTTAGTGGTAGCAGGGTTTGGATTTGAAGATATTTCAGATGCAGGCTTATAGAAACGTGTTCAACAAGCAGCTAACCATGTTTGTGATGAGCTCTGAATACTGAAAAATGATGCTTCTTTGTAAATATCAATGTAAGAAAATAAACTTTATTACAGTTTTATGAATCAGTATTTTTTTTTCTCTCCCATGAGGCAAACAGTGTGGCAACCACTTTGGTACCTTTTTTTTTTTTTTTTTTTTTGTATTCAGAATATATTACTATTTGACACTGCCAACAGATGTGGTGGGAGGAGGCAATTTATTTCTCTCATGCTGCAAAGAATTCAGTTGGATAAGTCTGTATGCTCTTTAAAAATGAAGATTATTTTACCATTCCAAAAGTATATAGCAGAAATTGAAAATTATATGTCTGGAATTATTGCGGCTCTTAAAATTCCTTGGCTTCTACTTGTCCTCACTACTTTCTGAGCTCCTGTAAGCAATTACAAGACAAATAGTTTGTGATTGAAGTATCACAGACAGACAAATCTCTGAACTCTACTGAACTCCCCTCAGTGTCTCAGTATTCTGGATTAAATTTTTGGACTTTTACTCTAGCAGATAATCAGTGCACATATATTGCTAGTAAAGGGCACTGGCCACAACTGAGGTTCTCACCTGCACTACCTTGTTCAATGCCACATTTTATGCATGTATGTACATATATATTTATATATGTAATGAATCAAATTTATGCTTTTTATCAGTTTTCAGTTTACTTTCTGTTGGACTTTTTAATCTAGAAGAATGCTGTCTTGTTTCCCTCTGGGTTTGCTGTATCACACGTGGAGACAAATAGCTCTTTCACCTGTGTGCTTGGACATGACATTCAAGTTGCACTGAGAATCCATTGTTTGAACCTGATATAGGTGAACTGAAAAGCTGCATAAGGAATCTGTCATTCTATTACAACCCACCTCTTGTTCCATTTTTGTCTGAGGAGCACCTTGTCTTTCATCCACCTCTAACATCTGTTAATGCTCCTTCTGAGAGAAATTTTGTCAGAAGTCATATTCAAATGTTACCTTTGAACTAACAATGCAGACAGATTGCAACTGTATTTCAGAACAAGATTAAAACGTTCACTCTACGATCACAGAATGTTCTTGAATATTTTTCATGCTTATAATATTCACTGTATTTATTATTTGCATACAGTTTTGGGTACATTTTTCAACTGCCCTGGAATATTAATGTCTTCTGAGTGTGTCGGCCTATAATGTTAAAACTTTTTCCTCATTTAAGTGAATTTTATTTTCATAATAGGATTGTTTGTCTCCATCAGCATTTTAAAACATTGTAATTGTAATTTAATTGTAATTTCTATTGCTTCCTTCATTTCCATTATTGCACTTTACAGATTGAACTGGAAAA